CCTGGTGGGGCAGGGACTTCAACTTTGGGCTGTGCACTTCAAGCTCAGTGGTTCAGAATCAGCAGGGGCTCCAAAGGAGAGCGATTAGGTTGTCTGCTCCCATAAAGATTTCCAGTCTCCGAAACCCTAGGGAGTAATTCTACTGTCTTATAGGTTTGCTATGAATCAGATTCAAATCCATGGCAGTGGGTTTGGGAAGGTATCCAACCAACTATAGTTGCAAAGCCGCTGAAGGGCTTTGTGCGGAGGAGGAGGAGGCGTGGCCTGGCCCACACTGGCTGCACACAGCAGGTTGCCCTAGGGCCTTTCCGGATGCTGCTTTCTTGTATAGCCCTTGCTTAGGGCTGCTGTCATGGAAAGACCAGGAAGGGATGGCTTCACCAGAATTGTCTAGCAGTGCGAATTCAGCAAGGGTGGGGAGACCTTTTGTCCACACTGTGGCCCTGCAGCATCACCTCCCACCCTGCCCATCTCCATCTTCAGACTCCCCACACACACACCAGGAGCACCCCTTGTTATGCTCCCCCTATCTCCAGGCAGCAAACTCCAGAGCTTAGACTGAATTCCATCTGGTAGAAGGTAGAACCCAAGGATGCAAGGAAGGACAGAACGGAGGAGCTGGCCTGAGTTGATGGCACAAGACCCAACTCCAAAGGACTGCCATCACAAAAGATCACAAAACCTGATGGGGAGAGGGTTGTAGAAAACAGAATTGCTTCTCTTTCTGTCCTAGAGGCTAGAAGTCTGATTACTTCAGAGACTTTGCAAGAGAAATTTTTCACAGTACAATGGATTTATCTTTTAATATGGCGTTTCTGGTCCAGAGTTTATAATCCTTTTCCCCCCTGCCCCGCAAATGGTTAGGATACACCATGCCTTGTGATTGGTCTATTTTACATTCTTTGCAGGAATTGGTCAGATTACTATGCAAACAGAGTGCATGAAATCATCCGATAAGGATTAAATTACTTTGCAAGGTCTGATCAGTTTGTGGCCTGGCTGGGAGGGCTGTGCCTTGAAATGAAATATAAACACTCATCTCTGAGAGACTGGAATACACAGAAGTCAAATTCAGTACATTTATGTACTGATCTACGATAGAGAAGCTCAATATCAGCAGCTAAAACCAGGTCCGGGACTGCCTGTGGAACAGACCATCAATTGCTCCTATGTAAGTTCAGGTCGAAGCTGAAGAAAATCCAAACAAGTCCACTGGAGTCCAAATAGGACCTTGACGATATCCCACCTGAATTTCGGGAACACCTCAAGAACAGATTTGAAGCATTGAACACTAACGACAGAAGACCTGATGCGCTGTGGGATGCCATCAAGAACATCATTCATGAAGAAAGCAATGGTCATTAAAAAGACAGGAAAGAAAGATCAAAGTGGATGTCAGAAGACTCTTAAAAACTTGCCCTCATTTGTCGAGTAACTAAAGGAAATAGAAGAAAGGATGAAGTAAAAGAATGAAACAGAAAGTTAACAAGGGTAGCTGGCGAAGACAAAGTCAAGCAGTATACTGACATAGAGCAGTTGAGTGCCATGGGAGTTGGACAGGGCCGGCAGCTGGTATCAGAAATGGTGAAAACATTGGAAAATGGAGCTGTGTCTTCGCTCCACCTCATAGGCACCGGCCAGGGGTGATCCCGGTTCTCTCCCCTCTGCAGGAATCTGGACTGAATCTGGTGTTAGAATCCTCTCTCCTGGTTTCCAGTGGTTGCCAACAATCCTTGGCATCTGCCCCATCATCACACAGTATCTGCCCCTCTGTGTGGGGCAGTCTCCCAGTCTGGCCTTGTTTGTGATAAGACGTTGCTCCCAAGGGATTAAGATGAAGACCCGCCCGACTCTGGTATGACTCAGTCAATTTAACAGATATCGACAAAGAAAAACCCTATTTTCCAAAACAAGATCATATTAGCTGGTTTCGAAGTTAGTACTTCAACATCTCTTTCTTGGGGAACGCAATTCAATCCGCAGTGGCACTGGTATTTTATTGAAGGCAAAATATGTGCTGGTAGGTGGGCTGCTAGACGCGTACTAAGGGGGGGGGGGGCTGAGGACATGGGGCCAGGGCTCACTTCCTATTGCTGTTAATTCCGAAACTTGGCAGCAGCTGAGTGTTAGTAGTGTTGGGTGAGGCATTGGGATTGTCAGGTTACTGGAGGGCTTAGTGGAGACCAGCAAGGGAATGTTTGTCGATTGGGGGTTTTGTTTGTTTTTGCTACCACCAGTTGCTTGTCTGCTGGCCAGGCAGGAGGATGGCTGAATTTAGGTTCTGGTGGTTTTCCTAGTGAGAATGATGCATGGTATGAGGAGGAAGAGCATAGGCCAGGCATCTGGAGCCAGTAGAGCCAGGGGGGTTCAGGTGAGCAGGACAGCACAAACCCCTCACTGTGGTTGGACAATGAGAGTCTATGGATGAAAGTCCCACGTTGTTGTGCTGGTGAATGGAGGGAGGTAACTTATGTCCCAGGAGCCCTGGTGGCACTGTGGTCACGTGTTGGGCTGCATGGTCAGCCCGTTGGAAACCACCCGCAGCTCCAAGGGACAAAAACTGGGCTTTCTACTCCTGTAAATAGTTAGTCTTAGAAACCCACAGGGGATCACCATGAGTCACCAATGACTGACTCAATGGCAGCGAGTTTGGTTTTTGGTTTGGCTTACAATCAACCTGTGTCCCAGTTTACCGGGCACAAACCATTGGAAATCTAATTATTTTATCCCTCTGGGACTACTGCTGTAATACCCACCCATAGCTATCAGAAACTGTTTTCAGAGTAGAAAGCCTCCTCTGTCTCCCTTGGAGAGGCTAGTGATTTTGAACCGATAACCTTTACATCGAGCACATCACAATTAGAACTAAAAAGTGCTCATGGTGCGGTGGCTAAGCACCCTACTACTAACTGAAAGATTGGTTTGAACCCAGGAGTAGCTGCTCAGACGATTTCAGTCTAGGAAATCCTATGGCTCAGTTCTACTCTGTTCACTATGGGGGCCTACAGATGGAAAGCTTCCACAGCACACAATTCTAACCAGCTCCTTGCTCTGCCAACGTGGGTCGGGGAGGACGGTCCTTCCCAGGTTTGAGTTCTCTCCTTTTGTCTTTAGTGCTGCCTGGCTCTACTTCAGGGAAAATTCCATTATCTTTTCATTCCTTTATTCCATGAACTTTTTGAAGCTCCCTTGTATGTCTTTTGTGTTGTGGTTACGTGTTGGGCTGCAATCTACAAGGCCAGCAGCTCAAAACCACCAGCTGGTCCTAGGGAGAAAGAGGAGGCTTTTCACGAGTTACAGTCTTGGAAACTCACAGGAGCAGCTCTACTCTGTCCTATAGAGTCACTGTAAGTCGGCATCGACTTGATGACTGGGAGTTATTGAGTTTGGTTTGTATGTCTTTATATGATATGATTTGTTTCTAGATTATTTTGTTTATCTACTCGGGTGGCACTGTGGGGTAAGCATTGGACTGTAAGTTTGGTGGTTCAAATCCACCCGTCGCTCCTCAGGGTAAAGATGAGAAGGCTTTCTGCTCCCCAAAAGATTTACAGCTTCAGAAACCCTATAGATAGATAGGGTCACGATCAGTCTGATCAGTTCTGTGACACTGTTTGTTTTTTTATTTTATGATCTTTCATTAATATTGTTTTTGACTAGTTCCTGGTACTAATTTTTTAATTCATTTTATTGGGGACTCTTACAGCTCTTTTAATAATCCATACATCCATTGTGTCAAGCACATTTGTATATATGTTGCCTTTATCCTTTTCAAAATATTTTTGCTTTTGGTACTAAGAAAGATGAAGCTGTCTGTTTCAGGAAAGATTTATAGCCTTGGAAACCCCACATAGGGTGGCAGTGAATTGAATATGATTTGATAGCCATGAGGCATTCCGTGGGAGAGAGACTGGGCTTACTCTTCCCATAAAGTTACAGTCTTGGAAACTCATAGGATGGTCAGCTCTACCCTGTCCTATAAGGTCACCATAAATTGGCATCGCTTGAATGGCAGTGACTTTTCTCCTTGTTAGAAAGAGCTGAGAGGAGAATAAAGATTTGCTGGCATAGTGGGTACATGTTGGTCTGTAGTCTGCAAGGTCAGCAATTCAAAACCACCAGTCACTCCCCCAGAAAAAAGATGTGGCTTTCTGCTCCCATAATTAGTTTCCCAAACTCACTTGGCAGTTATACCCTGTCCTGTAGGGTCGCCCTGAGTCCGCATCAGATGGCTGTGGGCTTGATTTTTTTTTTTTTTTGAGATGTGTAAAATACACAACGGAAACGGAAGAGTTGGTAAAGAGTTTAAATATATCATATATATTATTACTATATGATTATGTGAAACTTTTCAATATATGTAATATAAATCGTGTCTTTGGGTTGTGTACGTGGTGAAATAAAACATTTGGGTAAATGGACTACAGAAAATACATTATTAAGACAATTTTCATTAGTTTCTTTTCACGCTCTTAGAAGTGACTGCTGGAACATTTGAAAAACGCACGTGTGGCTCGCATTCTAATCCTATTGGACAGCGGGGCTCTAGACCGGAAAGGTACCAACAGGGAATTACCATCTCTATGCCTCCATTTCCTCATTTTTCAATCAGGGCTCATTCGGACTCGTCCCTACCAGTGCCGGCAAGAGTGCGCCCAGGGCTAATACATCCAGAACTATGGCGCTTGACACTGCGACCAGATGCTGCTGGGCTCAAGGCGCACGGCCCCACGAGAGCGGACTGTCGGCGCCCCGCCCCCCGGCGCCAGGGTCCGCCCCACCCCCCGCCCCTGCTGGCCACGCACGCGCTCCAGGTCTTGGCCACGGAAGGCGGGGCTAGGCCTGAGGGGCACGGGCGCACGCGCCTCCCGGGCCACCCAGCCAATGGAATTGCTCTTTCGGCCTTTCCGCTCCTCAGGCCCTCCCCCTCCGCTCCGCCCCGCCCTGCGGCGCGGCACGCACGGGGCGGGGCGCCAAGGGGCAGGCCGTTGCGGCGAGGCCTGACGGGACCTAGGCGGCGGGAGTCGGGCTTATCTGCCCGTTGGCGGCACCCGGGGAGTCGCGCACGTTGTGTGGGGAACATGGCGGACGCCAACGGTAAGGGCTGCAAGCCGGCTGGCCGCGCGCACCGAAGTGCAGCTAGCTCTGGGGAATGGCGTCGGTGCCCGCGCGCGCGCCCACCGGCACACCGGCCTCTTCGCTCCAGGGCCTCAGGCCGGCCTTGCCGCTCAGCCCGACCCCACATGGCGAGGGCGCGAACCCTAGAGGGCCCTGCGTGGCGCGGTTGTGCTGGCGCCTCTGAGGTGGCGGGATCCCTGGGCCCCTGCACGCCGCCGCCCCCTCCGCGGGTTGGGGGAGTGGGGCGGTGGGAACAAGGGGATAGGAAAGCCGCGGGACCGAATGGGGACATTGTCACCAAGCCCGGAGGCCACGATCCTCTGCTCGGCTGTTCTACGGCTTTAAGCCTCACCACGACCACGTGGTGAACCGGAAGGGAAGCCAACACGTGTGACTGCTCCCCTTCGTTCCCGACCTTGCTGAGAAGTGCTACAGAACTTCTGCCCTAAATCGGTATCCTCCCTGCCCTAAGCCCTGCTTGTGTTCCATTCCAAACTTTGTGGTCTTCGTTTTTTGGAAAATCTCCAAACCCCGCTGTTTTAGTTGTTCAGCTGAAGAAGCATAAGAAGAAAAAGGACCGAAAGTCGCTACCTGAAGAAGATGTAGCTGTAAGTAAATGTCTCGCATAACAAGCTGAAGGCAGTAGTAACCTAAAGGTTTCTGAGACATGTACTGGAATGGGCCATCCTTTATGTCAAGACACCGAGCCTTGCAACCCCCCGCCCCAGCCACCCAGAGCTTTGTATATGAGACCGTTGTTTATTAAATGGTTTCTTGCTGGTCTCAAATGAGCTCCTGAAAGTCCTTTTTCTGTCGTCTGCCCACCAGTCCTCCAGGCTCCTTAAGCATTAGGACCCATCTCTCAGTATTGGCACTTGCAGTTCATGCCTTGTTGACCTTTCCTGCAGAAGCCTGTGGTTAAGTTCTGACCCACAGCCGTCTTACGCTTAACGGAAGGAAGCACTGCCTGGTCCTGTGCCATCCTCACAAATTAGTGTTAGATTAGAGCCCGTTGTTGCAGCCACGGTGGTGTCAGTCCATCTCGTTGAGGGCCTTCCTTTTTTTTTTTTTGCTGCCCCTCCACTGTAGCAGTGTAGTGTCCAAAGTTCAAAGTCAGGCAGAAAATCTAATAGGACGTGTTTTTGTCTTGTCAAAGGAAATACAACATGCTGAGGAATTCCTTATAAAACCTGAATCCAAAGTGGCTCTATTGGACACCTCACAGTGGCCCCTCCTGTTAAAGGTACGTGGCTAAAACCATGAGTCCATCCACAAGCTGCCACACGAGCAGAGACAAAAGATGTGGGATGTGCGCCCCATGAATTAGTCTTTCATTGGCCTGCGAGTTGCTGTCTGCCCTGGAGCTTTCCCATCAGATTTCACTGACAAGCAAAATTGCTTGACATGCCAGATCAAGTCACTGGAGCCTTACTCTTGTGCTGGTCATGTTACTGACCTGTAGCCTCATAGCCACCTTGGGAAACAGTAGACCCACCTGCTCCATGGGCCTAGATCTGAGCAGACAACCTCATCTTTTTCCTGTAGAGCAACTAGTGGGTTTGAACTGCCGGCCTCGCCGTTGGCAACCCTTTGAAACCAGACCCAGGTGGTCCAGGTCAGCTGTGTGACTCTAGACCAGTCATTCCACCTTGTGCTGGGGTCTCTAGACGGGTAGAAATTGGTGTCTGGGGGCAGGTGGGTGCAGAATTTGAATTACGTTGCCCTTTCATTTGACCATTCAATATGAGCATCTGGTCCCGGGTTAGGACGAAAAGTTCCTGGGATACCCATTTGATTGAGAGTTTGACTCAACCAGGAGACCGATCATTTCTGTTGTCTTTGGGGCTGCTGGACTAGGGGCATCCCAGAAGCCAGGAGATAGGAACAGCTGAAGGGAGCGCATGCTGGCCTTGGAGAAACATTGTTGCCTCAAACCTGATTTTTCTGAGAGGGAGGGTCAAGCTTGACCCTGCTTTCTGGGCCACCCTATTCTGTACTGCCTTCAGGAGCCTCCCCTTTCAGAGCAGTGTCTAACACCATCTATGAACAAGCAGATGAATGAGTATGCTTTCCCCCCGATACTTAAGGAAATGTTTTCCAACAGGTGGGGGACCTGAAGGTTGCCTGGTGGTGTTTAATATGCACCAACTACTGCTTCACAAGCTCAGACTGTGGTAATGTGATGGTTGTTCTGTGTATATTGTCATTTTCTAGAATTTCGATAAGCTGAATGTCAGGACAACACACTACACCCCTCTTCCTTCTGGTTCAAACCCTCTGAAGAGGGAAATCGCCGACTACATCAGGTTAGTGTCTGCTCTTTCGTCTCCTGGGGGTGGGGGCTGTTCCTGCAGTGGTTTTCATTTTATTCCTCAGGACAGGTGGTCGGTGAGGTTTTTTTTCTGCCTTCCAGGACAGGTTTCATTAACCTGGACAAGCCCTCCAACCCGTCTTCACATGAAGTAGTGGCTTGGATCCGGCGGATACTTCGTGTAGAGAAAACAGGACACAGTGGGACACTGGACCCCAAGGTGACCGGCTGTCTGATCGTGTGCATCGAGCGAGCCACCCGCCTGGTGAAATCTCAGCAGAGCGCAGGTATGTGCTAGTGGCCCAGGCAAGGAACTGCGGAACTCCCAGTGGTTTTATCCTGCCTAGCTTTGGGGACAGTCTATTAGGAGAAAAGGATCCCTAAAATAGGGTGTTCTCCATGGCACCAGTGCCTGCTGCCCTTGGGCCAGACAGACTCGGGTCCTGCTCTGGCACCTCCCTGCAGGTGTGGGAACAGAAAACTTCGTGGCCACCCCTGACTACTCTTCTGTCATTTCCCAGGCAAAGAGTATGTGGGGATTGTTCGGCTGCACAATGCTATTGAAGGGGGTGCCCAGCTTTCTAGGGTAAGTGCCTTTGCAAGGAGGTCCTTCTTGGCCTGCTTTCCACGGAACTTTCCAGCAATGTCTTCTGGCAAGCTCCTCTCTGCGTGGGTGTTTGCAATCAGCCCTGGGCTACCCACTGTTTTGAGGAGGCAGGAAAATCCTTTCATGTTCATGAGTTCTGATTTGTACACCTTTGTAGGCCCTAGAAACACTGACTGGCGCCCTGTTCCAGCGACCCCCACTCATCGCTGCAGTGAAGCGGCAGCTCCGAGTCCGGACTGTCTACGAGAGCAAGTTGATAGAGTATGATCCCCAGAGGAGATTAGGTGTGCCATTTGGTTTCAGAGTGGGAAACGAGTTTGCAAGTCCAGACTGCCACCCCCGTGGCGTCACCGCCTGTGTTGTGGTCTGGGTTCCCGGGTACAGAAGAGCTCTGTCTCTCCAGCCAGGCTGAGTTTGCTTTGTCTGTCTTAGGGATCTTTTGGGTGAGCTGTGAGGCTGGCACCTACATCCGGACACTGTGTGTGCACCTTGGCTTGTTACTGGGAGTTGGAGGGCAGATGCAGGAGCTCCGCCGGGTTCGTTCTGGTGTGATGAGTGAAAAGGTACACAGCTGGGGGATGGCATCTCACCCCTTGGTAGGACGATGCTCCCTGAAAGGGCAATTCCCAAAGTGTTGAGTTCAGTTCAGGGCTGCTCCCCTGATCTGGTAATTGAACTTTGGGATATCGAAATGGGCCTAGGGTAAATAAGTGGATAGAAAGCATTCCTCTCTATTCATCTCTACCCCAGCCTACAGCACTGTCTGCCGGGTTGAATCCAGGTTAAATCCAACAGGAATGGCTTAAGGGCCTAGAGGCTATACTGAGCTGGGACTTTAGTGGTCTGAGCGCATTCTATGCACGTCGACCTGGTCAGGTCTGATTGGCTGACAGCAGGCACTGACTGCTTTTCAGGATCACATGGTGACGATGCACGATGTCCTGGACGCCCAGTGGCTGTATGATAATCACAAGGATGAGAGCTACCTGCGGCGAGTTGTATACCCGCTGGAAAAGCTGTTAACGTCTCACAAGAGGATGGTTATGAAGGACAGTGCGGTAGGTGTGACCTATGAAGTTGGCTGCTACTTTCCTTTGGGTTCGGTCTTCCTTGCTGTATAAATGGAATGCTGCATTTTGAAAATCCTTTGTTTATACTGGAAGTCTTTATTATTTAAAAAATGATTGAAGCCCTCTCACTTCCTGCCATCCAGTGGTTAAGATGCCAAAGATCGTGTTCATACAAAACTGGAGGATGAGCACATCCTTCCATAGTCACAGAAAATGATGGCCCAGAGCCCTCACTCCCCCACCCAGCAGGAGGCCTGGGTGGCGTTGACGTGCAGAGTAGCCAGGCAGCGGGTGTTTTACTCTTGTGAGTGTGAAAGCAGACAGCAGGGCCCTCGGGAATGAGGTGGAGATGTGTTTTGAAGTCTCCACCTGGGCAGACACGTGTTTTCAGCACGTCCCCAGGGAGTGCTGACGCAGCTGACCAGGTAGGGCCTGGTTTGAGACCTCTGGTCCTCTGCTGTACTGCACAGTGGCCTCACTCTCAGCCCCGTTGGGGTTTGAATCCATTGCTGGTGGGACTGAGATGGCCCGTGCTGTGCTCGACAGGTGAACGCAATTTGCTACGGAGCCAAGATCCTGCTGCCAGGTGTCCTGCGGTACGAGGATGGCATTGAACTCAACCAGGAGATTGTTGTCATCACCACCAAGGGGGAAGCTATCTGTATGGGTAAGTTCTTGAGCTACTACTTGGGTCCAGGGCTACTAGAGTGGTTGCCACCTGGGATTCTTTCGCCCAATAAATTTGCGACCTGGACCAGCCAGTGCTGCCAGAAACACCTCAAATTCTGGGCGTGTGTCATTGTGGATTAATTTGTGGTCAGTGCCTATTCAGAACCCTCCTGTTCCCAATGTTTTCTTGCCCCACAGCATAAAGGAGCTTTGCTCTGTTCCACACCCTCACAGACTCCCACTGCCCGAGTCCATTCTCCCTCGTGGCATTCCCGATAGGAGAGAGGGTTCCCGAGGCTGCCGATCTGCATGCCTCGGAGCAACTGGTGGGTTCTAGCCGCTCAGTGCCTAACCCACAATGCCACCAGGGCTCCTCCAGCTGGGACAGTGGCTCATGGAGATGTCGCCACAGGACACATGGCAGCAGCCATCTTCTCCTGAATGTCTGTCATCTCTTTGTAACTCGGGGAGAACTTGGGTTCAGGGCCCCACACTTGTTCTTGCTTTAGTTAATTTGTGTCATAACGTCTGTATCTAAATTGGGGCTGATGGGCACGGACGGTAAAGTTGGAGTGAGGGCTCGTCCGGTGTCATTCTTCCCCTCCTCTTGTCCCGATGCTGCAGCCATTGCCTTGATGACCACTGCCGTCATCTCCACCTGTGACCATGGCATAGTGGCCAAGATCAAAAGGGTTATCATGGAGCGAGACACTTACCCTCGGAAGTGGGGTCTTGGGCCCAAGGTAAGTGGTGGGGGGAGGGAATGAGTGAGCTATGCGGTGTGGGCCAGAATGTGTCTCCAGAGCTTCGGACTCCATGACCAGGGAAGAGAGAGACCTCATTGCAGACCACAGCATTTCTGTTGGAACGGGACAAGCAGGTGGCCTCACTTGACTTGCCGGGTGGGGGGTGGTGTTTAGGAGTGCAGACAGGTCCTTGGTGACTAGAGGAGTTTGCCAGCACGAAGGGCAGACTAGGTGTGGTGAGACACAGGGTTAGGGCCCAGCAGGGCATGGGCCAAGGCCACCGGCTGACCAGCTGACCTGCCCATTAGGCAACTGAGAAGAAGATGATGATCAAGCAGGGCCTCCTGGACAAGCACGGGAAGGCCACGGCCAGCACGCCCTCGGCATGGGTGCGGGACTACGTGGACTACAGGTGCGGGGCTGGGGCCGGATGGGCAGCATTTACCTTGGGGGAGTAAGCTCTGTGTTGGACTTCGTGTCACCATCTTTCCTGCAGGGACTCCGGGAAGGGGGTGGTTTTGACTAATGTGAAGAAAATCCCACACGCGGCGGCGGCAGCTACTGCTACACCTGGGCAGACCACCAAGGTGAGGGGCCTGCAGAGGTGGCCTTGGCATGGGAACTGCCCTGGGCCAGGCTGCAAGCCACTGCATGCTGTAGGCTCTGGGTGAGAGGTCTCGGAATGTCGGTTAGCCCATTCAGGGTGATGCTGAATAACAAGCTCTTTGATCAGTTCTGGACTGACCCGGCCAGTGGAGGCCTGCTGCCACCTCTGGGATTTCTGGGCTTGAAACTCTTGGAGCTAGATGGGTCCTCAAGCCCTTTTAGTTTAAGGGAGGTTTCCCTACAGCAATGGTTTCCAACCTTCCTAATGCCACAACCCTTTAATATAGTTCCTCATGTTGTGATGACCCCCAACTGTAAAATTATCTTCGTTGCTGCTTCATCACTGTAATTTCAGTACTGTTATGAATCGGGCTACCCCTGCAAAAGGATCATTCGACACACACACACATGCCAAAAAAAGGGGTCACAACCCACAGGTTGAGAACCGCTGCCCTACAGGGTCCTCTGTAAAGTCCTCCCAGAAAACTGCCTCCTGGTGACTCTTCACACTGTAATTTGCTAACGTGCTGATCCTCTCTCTTCCTGTATCATTCAAGACCTAAGTTTCCATCGTTTGTCTTCCCTTTAGCGGAAGCGAGAGAGTGAGACTGAGAGTGACAAAGAGACCCCGCCAGCTGCTCCCCAGCTGCTCAAGAAAGAAAAGAAGAAGAGTAAAAAGGACAAAAAGGCCAAAGCTGCTGCTCCAAGTGAAAGCGAGCTGGGCCAGGTAGTGAGTATAAGCAGCCCCTGCCTTCAGATGGAGGTGGCTCTGGCCCACCCTCAAGGTGGTGGATGGATAGAGGTCCTGTTTGGGAGGGAGGGGGAGAGGACCCAGAGTCGAGAGACGAGCTGGGACTGAGGTTGGTGGGTGCAGAGCCAACAAGTGTGAAGCAAAGGGAGGCTGCATGTGACGGACTTGCCCTTCATGTCACGGTCCCTCTCTTCCTAGGAAAGTGACACAACCAAAAAGAAGAAAAAGAAGAAAGCCAAAGAAGTACCCGCTGCTTTGTGAGATGTGGCCTCGGGGAGAATAACTAAAGCCTTACTGAGAAACCGAATTCCATCAGTGGTTGAGGGCCGGCAGTTGGCAACCCCCTGGAGCCCGCTGCCCATGTTGTCCTGTTTTAAGGGCCTGGGTTTCACTGGTTAGTGGCCAGCAGCCGACTTTCAGATCGGTGACCATCCAGCTGTTTTGTAATTGCTGTTCTGATACAAATCGTATGGTTTGCTCTTTGCCTTCCTGCTTAACTTAAACCTGTGTACCGCTCCTGCTCAGTGAGATGGACCAGAACCCGGAATCACTCCCTAAAGTGTTTAATGCACGTTGTCCACTGCAGCCACCCTTTTCCCAAAGGTCATGAAGATACCAGGTCTCTTTTCTGGTATGGGCCTGGCAAGGAATTTGGGCTGTCTCCAGTGTGCACGGGCAGTGTTGTCCTGGCCCTGCCTGCCCACTTTGTGCGTGTGTGTGTGTGTGTGTGTGTTTCAGTGTCCTCTTGTGTATGGTAGCCCTAGTGTACTTTTGGTGTTGTGTGTGAGCCCATCGTTGTAGCTGCTGTGTCAACCCACCTCATCCAGGGGCTGCTGTTTTTTTCGTTGACCCTCTACCAAGCATGTCCATCTCAAGGGAGTGGTCTGCCATTTTCACAATATGTAAGGTAAAGGCTCCCCATCCTCCCTTCTAGGAGCAGTCTGGCTGTTCTACTTTGGGGACTGATAAGCTTGTTCTTCTATCAGTCTATTCACTCACTGCCGAGTCAATGCTGGCTCACGGTGACATTCCCCGGTGGGTTTCCCAGACTAACTGTTGGCGTGAGTGGAAAGCCATCTCTCCCCCTTGTGGAACCACCACAGGGCCTGAGGCGCACAACACAATTCCAATGCACCAATTTTGCAATCTTTTTCCTTGTTCATTGTCAACTTTAACGTGCATACGTGATGATTAAAAGGCCATTGCTTGGGTCAGGTGCACCCGATTCTCCAACCTGCCATTTGCTTTCCTGTTAAACCCACGGGCAGTGATTGTGGATCAAAGGAAAACTAGATACTTATACACCTTTTGTCTCAGCCTATATGAGTTCCCACAGGCTACACTTGAAATTTGGTTTGGGGGATTTTTTTCTTAGTACTTGTTACTGTTAGTAATCTGTATTCAGTGTGGCAGCATGTAATTTGATGCTATAAATCTGGTTTTCAATGCTGTTATTAGACACCGATAACAGGCAATAGAAAAGACCAACTCATGTTTTCCACCGAAGCTTCAGAGTTTTAAAAGGATGGGAAGGGCACTATTAATTTTTACTTATTAAAGTTGACTTATTTTATAAATATTCCTGGTGTTTTCTCTAATTGATGGCAATGTCAAACTAGCAGAGCAGAAAATGGGGGGAACATTTTCTTAAGTAGAGCTGAACTTGGATCTGCCTTATGTTTTGTTAGCTTCATATTTCTGGTTCCTTTTCTGACCATCTTCTGTTTGGGGCTCTTCCCATTAGCAGCAGAGGGAGGGCTCTGTGGGGTGGGGGGTGTTGTCTGGGCTTTTTTACAGGGACACAGTGAGGTGTAGTTGCTGATGCAGGAATCTGAAGCCCAGGCTGTGACGAGCCAGAGTAGCAATCTCACATGGACCTCTGGGTGCTGTGAAGGATTAAAAAGCTAAGAATGGCTCTGAGGAAGAGGCCAGGCCAAAGGGAAGTGAGGGTTGGGCTCGCCCTGCTTTACACACGTGCCTACCTCAATGCTATCGATTCAATTCTGACTTGGCAACCCTATAGAACAGGGTCGACTGCAGCTGGAAGTACAAAGCTTTGTTTTTCTCCCTCAGAGCAGCTGGTGTTTTCAAACTGCTGACCTTGTGGTTAGCAACCCAATGCAACAGGTCTCTTGACCCCTACTGGGTTTTGAGATGCTAGCATTGTTTCCGGTTTCAGGGAGAAAGCCAGGAGGTCCCACACTGGGTTTTCACAGCACATCTTTATTGCTTTGGAGAATTTCCCTAGAGCAGACAGCATCCGACTGCACAGGTCTCACTTTGGAAAGTTGCTGTGCCCTGCGTAGTTGAAGGAGCAGTGCAGGGCTAGAGGCGACCTGTGTCTGGCCCTGCTTTGTCAACATGAGCGCTTGTTGGTAGTACTGCTGACAGCTCCCCTCCCACCAGCCCAGAGGGAATCCACACCAATAAGGGGCCCCATCTCAGGAAAATCCAACAGATCTGCAGAAACCTGAACAAGACGACAGAATCCTACTGGCCTAATGAGGGCAATTGCAGGGAACTGGAAGCGAACACGCAAAGCTAGATGGACTGACGCTATTTGTCTTAGAGCAAGAGAAAGGGCATTCTAAACTGCTGGCGAGGGTGGGAAGATACGCTGGCGGCTCAGGCTTAGTAGACCCAGGAGACAGGCACCCACTGGGGGGAGCTGCATGCCTGGTCAAAGGCTTCTTGCAGTTTCTGGAGGATTTCGTTCACACCGTTGTTGACCAGCGAGAGGTCAAAGTAGTGTGCGTACTGGCTGCGGATGGCTTCGGAGTCCTTCTGCAGCTGCTGCAGGGCTTCCGTCTGCAGAGAGAGCACCGAGGTGAACAGGGCTTCCCCGCTACCTGGGTGACTGCCAAGGGGCTGAGCTGCGGACCATGAGGCTGGGGGCAAAGGACAGCATCCGCCGGGCAGTGTGAGGGCTAAGTTAGAAGGCCTGCTCCTCCAGCTCTCTGGCAGTCAGTGACTGTCTCAGAAGGAGAATGTGCTTGGACCCAGGAATCCTACTCGGAGTAGATCCTCTGCATTCTGAGTGCAGTATTGGTTACACTTAGCAAAACAACGTGCTGATGTGTTCACACAAAAGCAAGGGAGGAGAATATTCCTAAGTGGATACAGGCCACTGGAGGGCGCATGAACCCCACTGTTTCTTTTCATTTGTTCCGAAGGACGCCCAGTACAAACTGGACCCTTCCTCTTTCCCACCCGCCCTCAGGGTTGCTCGGTCCCCAGCTCACTCACCACGGCAGCCAGGCAGGATCTGCTGTCCTTCCCCACCTGTGCCACTAACTCAAGCCCGTCTGGAACAATGATGGCACTGATTGATTCTGACCCCCGTCACCCAGCATGGGCCCCTGCCTGCTCAATGAGTAAAATGCACATGCATCTGGCTTCTTGGCCCTGAAGGAAGGAGGGCAGGAGGCTCATGGGAGATGTGGTCACAAGCTAGAGTTGCAAGTTGCAGCCTTGACCTATGCTCCTCACCTGAGTGCCCTGGTCAGTAGGTGCAATGAACACAATGAAAGGCGAGAGTTCTGCGGTCCGAACCACCTTCAGGGTCTGGAAGACGAGGAAGAAAAAAGAACTGGTTAACTGTCATGACTACTTTCTAATAAGCAGCTCTGGACTTCCGCAATCCCATTATTATTTGCCATCATGGCCACTGTTCTTCCCTTAACATTGCGTAAGCAACCCTGAGCTCCCTGTGCAAGGCCCAGTCCTTCCCTGCCTACTCACCTGGGGCTCAATGTCAAGGATGGCGATTTTGTCTTGCTTGTGAATCTGATGCACCGTTTCAAATTTGGTGCCAAACATGTTGCCCTGGTAACTGCCAAACTCCAAGAACTCATTGGCAGAGATACTCTTGGTCATATCCTCGGTCGAGATGAAGTGGTAGTCCTTCCCGTCTTCCTCATTCTTCTTAGGGGGCCGAGTTGTATCTGTAAGAACCCAATGCCCTGATGAACCGGGGGCCTCACTGGCACGCAAAGGCTTGGACCATGGTGTGTGTGTTGAAAACCTAGCTGTCTTGGCTGCAGGGAGCTTATCACAGGCTGTATTCCATGGGACCCCCAAGGGCTGATGATCAGAGATGGTACAGCCCAGGAAACCCATCTTTAACGTGGCAGATTGCACCATGCACGAGTCTCCTTCCGGGTTATAACACAACACACCTCCTTTGACCTTATCACTCTTTCTTACATTTCCTGCTCCTTCAAGTTTCTTGAAGGAAGATCCTGTACTGGCTGGGTTTTACTTCCCCTACTCGCTATTTCAACCCAGGATCATCTGCTTTCTGCTCGTACCATGCCACTGAAACTACTGTTAGCAAAAGGGAAAAGCAAAGACTCAAAAAGCAGGAGTCTTAGCAAGTTTTAGAATTGTTTTCCACTCAGGTTAGCAGTGTCGCCCTCTGGGACTATATCCAAGTCTGCTACACAATTATACTTCTGGGAATGAACGCACGAATTCATTTCCCACCTGATGACTGGCTTACACTATTCCTCAATAATGCTTTGGCTTAGCTGTTTCATGAAAACTAGAGGCAGACTAAATACCAAACGGTGGTCGGAAAGCTAATTAAATTACAGCACCACCGTTCAATGTACTATAAAACAGTTGTCAAACATGAATAGTGTGGGAATGTGGAAAAAGGTTTATGATGTGAAGAAATGAAAACTTGGCCTAACATTTATTAATATCATTAGTTGCTTAATATACAGTAGACTGAAACCATGCTTACTACAGCTTGTCATGTAGGCAAACAGCATAGACGAGAATGCGAAAGCAACACTATTTTGTGAGTTGGAGAGATAATGGGTAAAACATATTTGCCTCGGTATCTTTTCAACTTTTGTTGTTTTGGGTTTTTTTTTTTTAATCCAACCTTTACAATGTTGTCCTCAAAAGCAGTCTGACTGCACATCAGGAGCTACTTACGTGGAGCAGGGTACACAAACTTCTCCGGCTGCTGGCTGAGCAGGGCATTCTTAATGTGGCTGCGACCTACCCCACTGGCTCCTACGCAGGGAGAGACAAGAGAGCAATCAGAAGGCTCCCACCTCTTTTCCCCCAACCAAAGCAGGCATGGAGTAGGAACAGGGCTGGCATCTGGAGATGAGGGTCAGGACTCCGAACAAAATCAGTGGAGCTGCATCTCAGGCGGGCCCGATGCCACACGCCTCAAGATGACCCAGACAATTCTCGATATCTATACCGTGGGAGCCCAGAGGCCTCATCTTGACCTCACTGTCAGTGTTTTCGGTGGGGAGGTAGGAGGCATCAGGAGGTATACACAGGTTGGCAAACAAGGATAGAAATGTTCTCTTTAATTAGCAAAACATGTTGGGGGCAACAAAAAGGTACCTATCAGCACCAGCGTCTTCCTCTTGAAGGCAGGGAGTCGAACAACTTCTTCATAGGAAACAACATCCAACTGGTCAAAAACTAGAGAGAAAAGACAAGCAGGTAGGATGCGGAGCTAGTATCCCGGAGGCCCACTTTTCTGTCTCTGCAAGACATGCTTGGGTCCTTTCCCAGCCCCCTTCCTCTGCGGGCTGCAGCTGCCACCCTTCTCTCCAAGGCAGAGGCTATCACGAAAGCCGGCCATCCCTGAAATCAGGACCCAGGAGCCGCTGGGTGGAAGCTCTAGAGAAGGCCTTGTTTACCTCCAAGTCCATTCAGAAAAACCTAACTCCTAGAACTCTGGTTCCATAGAACCCACAAACCCAAATCTCCAAGAACGTCTTTTGCCCAATTCAGCCAAGCACGTTAGATTGCACCATGCAGAAGGTCTAATCACCAGCCCAGCGGGGGCTAAGAGCTAACCATGCTCAGTTATGATGATTCATCCATAGCATATCATAAATATCACAATGTGTCCTATACATTATCTAGAATTTGCAACAAAGAGCTTGTCTTATTTTTCGAATGCTGCTACAAAAAAAAGAACACTAATGGATGGCTTTAACACAAAGAAATTTATTCTCTCACGGTTTAAGAGGCTAGACGCCTAAATTCACTCTGCTCCCTTAGCTCGGGATAGCCCCATTCTCCTAGTTCATTCCAGTCTTTTTTCCCTGGGCCACGAATAACCCCCAAGCCCCTCGGGCTTGAGCAGCACATCTGGCCCCAATCCCTGGCATTTAGGAACAGCAGCCCCACCCTTCAAAATTAAGCGGGTGAAAAGCTGACTCTTTGAAAACCTAGGTGACCCCACCCTTTGGGAGCCCGGAGATCACAGGCCTTGAGCTCTGCTTCCTGGGCCCCTGCTTGCTTTTCAGCTTCTGCTTCCTGGTTGCTTGGCCTCTTGAACTGTTGGTCTACCAAGCTCTTTAGCTCCATCCAGTGGCTAGATTACACTACTCTACCAGGAAGCTTCCAGAACAAAGGCACTCAGTTCTCCCCTGCTGGGTGGTATCTCCTGTGGCATCTCTCACAGGTGTCCTTCTGTTACCAAGAGTATGGGGCTGCCCCTTCCCGCCGCGCCGCCGTCATCACCGTCTCTCCTCGCTTCCTTCTGAGTCCTCAGCAGAACTGCTGTTACTACATCCGCAATCTCACCAATAGGCTCTCCCAAGCAAGCTAGGATTTTACTTTTAGTCTTAAAACCCTTCCAGCCTACTCATTGCCCAATTCCAAAACTGCTTCCCCATTTCTGGTATCTGTGAGAGCAACATCCCCCTCTCAGCACCAGATTCTGTCTTAAACAAAGAGAAATGTATTCTCTGTGGGCCCAGTGTTCCTTGCAGATCTCCATGTGCCTTGGCATTAATCTTCCCCTGTCTAGAATGTTCTCGGGCCCCAAAGCTGCACACTCAAATCCCAGGGCTTCTTTCTCAGTGGTGCTGAGGTCCCTCCTTCTGTTAGTTTCTCTCTCCTTTCATCTCTTGTAAGATAAGTGGTGGTAGAGGCCCCACCCCAGGGAACCTTGCCTTCCATTGCCTCGGGGCTGTGACCTCTGGAAGGGTGTTGGCACACCTCCTCCTAGGCCCCATACCAGCCTGGTTGGTCACATCAGATCCCCTCTTGGGAGATGATTACCTCAGCATATAGAACTGCCAAGCCACTGAGAATCACAGCCCCACCAGGCTCACATGTATTTTGAGGGGATTCGATGCAATCTATGCCAGAGGTGCGCATGCTAGTATTTAGCAAAAGCAGATAATCTGTGTGATTTCCTCAGGGTATCCACTACATTTTATTTCAGCGATCTAATTTTAAATTCCAAAAATCCTTTCTTGATCGCTGACCGTTGCATTTATATGAGAACCTGGTTTTGTTTGATGGATATGATCAACAGTGTCCCTAATTTTTCTGAGCATAATACTCTTTTCGTTACCCTAAAAAAAAACCAACCTGTTGCCATTGATGTGTTTCTGATGCCTAGCAAGCCGACAGGACTGGACCCAGGGCCTTACCACACCTTTCTCCCCAAGAGCACTGCTGAGTTCGAACTGACAACCTTTTGGTTAACAGTCAAGCTCATAACCCCTGTGCCACCAGGGTTCCTTCTTTGCTCTAAGACAATGTGGCCTAACCCTAGGGAGCCACTATCACAATAAAGGCACATTCTGATTTCAGCCCAATTCAACTCACTGCCATTAAGTCCGTTCTGGCTCAGAGCACACCTATAGGGTGGAGTTGAAATGTCCCTGTGAGTTTCCAAGACTGTAATGCCTTTTTTTTTTAATTAAAAGATCATCTTATTGGGGCTCTTACAGCTCTTATCACAATCCATACATCAATTCTATCAAGCATATTTGTACATGTGTTGCCATCATTATTTTCTAGACATTTACTTTCTATTGCGCCCTTGGTATCATCTCCTTTTTTCCCTCTCTCCCCTCCACCACCCTCGTGACCCCTTGATAAATTATAATTATCATTCTCATATCTTACACCAACCGCTGTCTCCTTCCCCTCGAGTTTTCTGTTGTTCATCCCCCTGGAGGCGGGGCTGTGTGTATCGATCATTGTGATCCGTTCTCCCCCCCCCCCCACTTCTCCCTTACAGGAGCTGACTGCTCCATCTTTCTTTCATGGAGTGGCTGGAGGTTTGGAACAGCCGACTTCCCAGTTAGCGGCCCAATGTTGATTTCAGGAATGTTAAAAAATAGAAAAAAGACACAGCGTGGAGGAACGATGCTAATGGAATCGTTTAACTCGGTTTCCTCTGGGAGCTTTTCTGCACTCAAATGCATGGTGATTTTCGATTTTCTGTTGCTGTTCAGAAACTCGGCTAGAAAGGCCACTAGCTGGTGCTGACTTTCCAGCACGGCTGAAGCATCCCTGTGGTCCTGAGTGCCGACAGCCCACTCCAGGCTGGAGATTTGGTAATCGAGTGTTTCTCTGCAGAAGCAAGCTTGTCTCCTTGGTTCAGAGGTTCTGAGCTGGTGCCATTACGAGAAATTGTCCAAGAAACATCACCCTGCTTCTCCCCACTATAAACCTCCCACTACACGAAAAGAACAATTCTTAAGACTTCTATGGAGGGTGCAGTAAGCTTCACGGTTCCACCCCAGGGCCTTTGGGTCTCCTATCTTTTCACTGGCAGTTGGCAAGGGCAACAAGGGCACACCAGGAGCTGAGTCAGCCAACTGGAGCCCCAACTCTGGCTATCTTGGGACCTCTTCCTGGTCAGCCTCACGGAGCCCTGCGGCCCTGCCCCTCCGATGGGCCGGGTCCAATGTTTCACAAAATTTTAAAAGGGGAGACAATTTGAGGAAACAGGGAAAAGCCAGAGGGGAGAGAATATGTGCATGCTGAATGTCTACTGCATGTCAGGCCATGGGCGGGCGGCACTGTTCTACCGCAGACTCTTCACTGTAAGGGGTGGCCACTGTGATTTTCATTTGACAGCGGTTAAGTGGTTTGTCCCCTCCACACATGCCTGATGCCTCTTGTGAAACTCTGTTGTCAGGGTAAGAGGTACAGGAAGTGAACACACAAGCACTGGGAACAATACAGAGACTCTCTGATCTTGCCCGAATTCTTGGTCCACTTCCCCTCACCCACCAGTGCCACTGCAGCCCGACTTCCCTGTTGAGCGATTTCAGGCATCTGTGATTTGCTCCAACAGAATGCAGGCACTTAATTAATGGTCAATTATTCATTTTCTATTCTGAGACCCGCTTGGACCCATTTAGAATTTCAGTATATTGTGATTCCAACCACAGTGGTGTAGCAGTTATACATTGGCCTGCTAACTCCAGGGTCTGTAGTTCAAAACCACCAGCCACTCCAAGGGAGAAAGATGGGGCTTTCTACTCCTGTAAAGAGTCACAGCCTCGGAAACTCACGGGGGCAGGTCTGCCTATGGTGGCTATGAGCTGACATCCCCTTAACGGCCATGAGTCTGGATGGTGAAGAGGCTGGGGAAATATGCCAGATGCTGGCTGCCAAGGCCCACGAAGAGGACAAGCCTGGGAAACTTACTTGCACTGTGTTTTGCCAGATACTTGTCTTTGTACTTCTTCTTCTTCCCAAAGGGGCTGCAGCTCGGAGCTTCACTTGGAGCCGACTGAGCCACACTTGCCACTCGCCTAGTGAGAGAAAACGGTAGCGCTCAGAAGGTCGTCCAGTCCTGGGACTGCTGCGCCGGGGCCCTCTCTCCTTTGTGCACACAGTGTCTCAGAGAGATCACCATCTTCCTGGCACTTCTGAAACCAAAGGCAGTCGTCCCCACGGTCTCCATCTCCATGCCCCGAAGCAAACAGTAAGTCAAAGTACAGCGCCAAGTACAGGCAACCTTCATGGTGTGGGTGAATTACAGCTCTAGGGACCTTCACCAGCTGATGTGGCCTGACTGAGAATGAGAGGGAAAGGCTGCAAGCTCGCATCCATGAATCTCCACAAGGTGTATTGGATGAAATAGGAAACCAGGACAACTGGAAGTTGTAAAAAGTGAAATGGCGTGCTTGAAGATCAATATCCCAGGTAGCAGCGAGCTAAAGGGGGCTGATGTGACCATATGGCCCACTATGCTGGCAATGGAAAATTCAGAAGGAATGACAGCACATTCAGTGTCAAGAGGAACATTTCATAGTCAATTCTGAAGTACTATGCTGTCAGTGAAAGGCTAATATGCAAACACCTACAAGGAAATCAGTTAAAAGGACTGTTACACAAAGTTATGCACCAGCCACTACTGCTAAAGATGAAGAAACTGAAATTTTTTTAAACAAATGTCTGCAGTCTGAAATTGATCAAAGGTGCAATCAAGTTGCATTGATACATACTGGTGACTAGAATGTGAAAGTTAGAGGGGGGTGAGGAAGAAGAATCAACAGTTGGAAAATACGGCCTTAGTGATAGAAATAAGTCTGAGGGCCACATGATAGAATTTTACAACGCCACTGACCTAGTCATTGCGAACACCTTGTTTTAACAGAAATGGCAGCTGTACACGTGGACCTTGCTGGATGCAAGAAACAAGAAGCAAATCGACTACATCTGTGGAAAGAGATGATGGAGAAGCTCAGTCACACCAGCCAAATGAGTTCAGAGACCATCTGAAGAACAGCTTTGACACCGATGACAGAAGACCAGAAGAGATGTGGGCGGACGGCGCACATTAGGGAAACCAAAGGTCATTGAAAACATAGGACAGAAAGAAAAGACCAACATAGGTGTCAGAAAAGACTCTGAAATTGCTCTCAAATATAAATGACATCATGGAGCTGAACAGAAAATGTCAAACGAGAGTATTTTAATCGATGGTGAGGAGCAGGCAGTGTTTCCTTCTCTTGCGCAGAGGGTCGTTATGGGTTGCAACCGACTCGGTGGCACCTAAAAACAACAACGGTTAATATCATGGCCAAGTTGGTTTTTGCTGAATTAAAAAAATGGTTTAGGCAATACCAGTGGCAGGGTCAGACATTCAGGCTGGGTACAGAAGAGGCCCAGGAACAAGGGATATCCTGGTCGGCATCAGATGGATCTGGGCTAAAAGCAGAGACTACCAGAAAGATGTCGACCTGTGTCTTACTGAGTATGCAAAGGAAAGTGGCGATATGGCTCATAACCAATTACGGATAATATTGAACAGAATGGGAACTTCGTTGTGTGAACAGAACCAGGGAAAACTGGGGGGTTAACATTGGGGAAGGTGCGCGTCAGGGTTGTAGCCTCTCACCAGACTTTTGCAATCTGTATGCTGGCTGACATGAAGAAGGATGAGGCATCAGGACCGGAGGAAGCCGCCCATTTTAACCACGTGCAATATGCCAGTGACACCACCTGGTTTAAAGTGAAGGGGACCGGAAGCCCTTTCCTGGTGAAGATGAAAGACTAGGGTCTTCAGTATCAATTACACCTCAACAGAAAGGAGAAAAAGGTCCTCACAACTGGAGCAATGAAGCCACAGCATGCTAAGAGGAGAAGAGTTTGAAGTTGTCAAACTTGGATCCATAGTCAATGCCCGTGGAAGCAGCATTTAAACACACACACACACACACACACACACACACACACGCACACACACCATCAAGTGATGCTTTACACTGAGCAAATCTGCTGCCAAAGGCCTCTTTAAAGTGTCAAGAAGCAAAGATGTCACTTTGAGGACTAAGGCAAGCCAGTCAGAGTGTTTTCTAGACAATGACTCAAGAGGACGAACGGCTGCGTTCGAACGATGGCGCTGGGGCAGAGCAGGGAACAGACCCCGGATGGCCAGAAGAAGAAACACATCTGTCTTGGAAGAAGCACAGTCAGAACACTCCTTAGAAGTGAGCATAGTGAGGCTTTCTCTCTCGTTCTTTGGACATACTGTGAGGAGAAACCAGGCCCTGCAGAAGCACATCCCGCCTGGCAAAGTCGAGGGGCAGCAAAGGAGAGGAAGACCCTCAGCGAGATGGACGGACAGAGTGGCTGCAGCAATGGGCTCCGGCATAGCCATGATTCTGGAGGCGGATGCAGGACTGGGCAGCATGTCGCTGCTGTACCAGGGTCACTGTGAATCACTCCGCATGCATAGTTGACACCAACAATGGGAGTCATGGTGGGGGCTCTGGGTTATGGTAGACACGAGTTTTTCCCACAGCACTGTCCTTGTAAGGGGCATTCAACATCACAACAGTTTCTGCAGCATTTTGCTCGAGCCTGAAACAAAATCTCACAGCCGCACGCTGTTCTCTTAAATCAGTCATCATAAAAAACGAGATTCGAGTGAAACTGCTTTCACACAAACAATGCAATGTGACCAGAGAACCTTCTCAGGCAACACCACTGGGTGCACTAACTCAGAGCCAGTTACTAGATGCTTGCCTAGCAGGGAAAAATGTGTACTACAAAAGCTATACTCAACAGAGCTTTTTTGTGTGTGTGAGGGGGATGTAACCCCTTATATGTTACCCATGTATGTCCATTTAACCACTCTGGGAGAGTACAACCAGAAGCACGTTTCTGTCTGTGTACAGGGAGGGCTTTCTTTTTCTATTGGATCAGCCTGTTAGCACACAAACATACAAACTCATTTTTCCTGTTTAAAAAAAACAGCTCCCAACTCCGTCAAATCACCACTTACTGATGCTGCTTTGCCCGGTGGCTAGTATATCTTTGTTCCCTCCCTTTAGAGAAAATCTCCCGAAATAAGGCTATCTGTACTAGGTCTCTCTTGAACCCGCCCCAGCCTGGCCTCTGCCCAGCCTACACTACGCGCTCTAGTTCCCTACTCGACCTTGCTGTCTTCCCTGAATGGCTGCTCAGTGGCATGTGCCCATGCATGTGTGTGTGCACGTACGTACACACACACACACACACACACACACACAAACACACAGATCCTTTCCTCTCCCATCCTCTCTCAGACCCTCCTCCCCTCATCTGCTAAGGCCCAGATGCTAACTCACATATGTCCCTTATGCCAACGAAGGTAGGTGGAGAAAGAGAAGCCACACACAAGATGACAGAATTATGAGATGGCGTGACTTTTTAGCAACACCGACAGGTTAGAGTTCTGGCAAAGCAGCTCACCATTCCTGCAGCTCGGGAGAAGGGATCAATCCTGCCGATTCCTTGGAAGAGCCTTCCACCCGGCCCTGCCACCAGTTGCTATCATCCTTGTTGATGATCTGGATGATGTCCCCAGTCACGAACTTCAGTCCCGCTTCCTTGCAAGGGATCAGATTGTCCTTTTGGGGATCGTAGTCAAACTGCGCTCTCATGAACATCTGAGGAAGAAGGCAGGCACGGGTAAGACCGCTGCAGGGGACAAGATCCAAGGGCAGGTCATCGCCTCCAATTTGCTCAGAGGCCCCGTCTGCAGAATGAGAAGGCTCGCAGCCGCACCACCTTAGTCTCAGCAAGCATAAAGCCCACGAGCGCGCGCATGCGTGCGTGCGTGCGTGCGTGCGTGCGTGCGCGCGTGCGTGTGGTCTCCCAGCAGCCATGGGATTCACTGTGTGTGGTTCTAGCAGCCGTGGGCTTCACCTAACTGCACTCAAGAAATGACTGCAGGCGAGAATGGTGATGGCTAAGGGCCTAAGGCAGTTCTTCATGCTCACCGAGTTTCCGAGGAGCCAGTGGGAGATGGGGATAGAATTACGGCCTAAGAGCAGGCCTCTCCCAATACATGGGGTATTCAGGAGTGATTACAGGCAATAGCATGTTCAGTAAACTTTGGAGCTCTTTCCTAGCAGACTGTTTGACAGTATGAATATGTAACCTATCAGAACAGGTTCTAGTTTGAGGTACTGAGATGGGTGAGACACCCATTTGAAAAGAGCGAGAACCAGCAGCCCATGCTAGGGATAAATGGTGCACTCACTGCTGCTTTCCTGCGAGTCCATGCAGATGCCATCTCTAAGGGAATTGGCACTTTACCAATGAAGAACTTGTTTTCTTTAAGAAAGGATATGATGGTGTTGACAGTGAAGCCTGCTGCAGTCGACCACCCACATTGACATACAAGGAACCAATTTATCTAATTAAGAGGATTGATGGTTAACAGCAGCAACAATAGCCATCTCCATTGGTCCAGCTGACACAATTGAGTGAAAAATAAAAGTTGAGCAAGCTTTCCGCCTGCTGGTAGGGGACGCTACCGAGTGGATTCTGACTCCGTTGGGAGTGATCCTCAACAGAGTTCATTGTGATTGCCATCCAGCTGGGTAGACAATGGCCCGGCTCTGGGTCCGGGAGTTGGGGGGCGGGGAATAGGAGCACCTCACTCCCAGCCACAGAGAAGAGCCAGGAGTGGAACACATCTCTTGGACTCCAAGATCCAGAGAGGCCTGCCTGTGGGCCCGACGGAGGAAAAAGCTGTCCTGACTCAACAGTTGTATCCCGTTAACTTCCTGATGAAACCCGTCCTGTGAGCACCGTCTGAATTCTGTGTGGCCACTGCAAGGAATTCTAGAACCAAGGTGAAAGGTGGAGTGTGGAGCAGGGGTCCTCAAACTTTTTAAACAGGGGGGCCAGTTCAGTGTTCCTCAGCCCCATTGGAGGGCCGGACTATAGTTTTAAAAAAATCTATGACCAAATTTCTATGTACACTGCACATAGCTTATTTTGAAGTGAAAAACAAAAGGTGGAACACACCCGGCTGGATAGATGTCCTCGGCTGGCCGCATGTGGCCCGCAGGCCATAGTTTGAGGACCCCTGGTGTGGAGAATGGAAAGTACCCCGGGACAGGAGCAATGGCTGGTGTTAGAATTGGGTTAAGAAGGATGGAAGATCTCACCTTTGCCTTGTGGCAAAGAGCCTTGGGAGCCTGAGGGCATCAAATGTGACATCCTCCCTTCTGCCCTTTCCTCAAAAGGTCATGACATGTTTTGCGGGGATACTCAAGGGGGTTTTCTTATTGACTTTCTGGAATAAGAACATCTGTGTTTGCGAAATTTAGCTAAAGCTTTAGCAGAAAAATGCCCAGGTGTCCTTCTCTGCCAGGACAATACTTCTACTCAGGTCCTCTCATCAAACAAGCGCAGTTCTGTGAGTTTTGATGGGAACTCATTAGGCATCCACCTGACAATCCTGATTTGGCTCCTTCGGACTCTTTTTCATCATCTTAACAAATAGTCAAAGGGGACCTATGAGTCAATACATTGGCCAGTTCAAGCTCCAAGCCCCTTGGTTCTTGAGGGATAGACTAAATAATGGCTGGTAGTATCCTGTGTACAAGTGCTTATGTTGAGAAATTTTCTGTTGCTCATTTCTCTCTTCTAGTTTATTATTGTCCAAGAAGCTTTTGAAGACACCTCTGCCCTGTAGAGAGTTCAGAAACAGACCCCCCCATATGGTTTAGGACAGAGGTGGTTATTTCAATAAATGATGCTGAGTTCAGGGATATCGGCCTGGAAAACAGGATGGATTTTTTGACCCCTTATCTTCCTCCACACACAATAAGCCAATGCAGGTGGGTTGTCGATGCAAATGCGAAAAAATAGCTTCTTGAATGTGTTATAAGTGAAATATTTTCTAATAAGACATAGAAAGCATTCATCGTTTTTTTAAAGTATATAGGATTTCATGTAAACAAACAATTCGTACTCACTAAAAGCTAGTACAAGCATAACAACCCCAAACACCTAGAACATCAGAGGATATCCAAATAGAATTTTCAAATATAAAAATTGTATCAGATAAAATAATAATAATTTCTAAATTATCAAGGGTTCAGGGGGAGGGGGGACCGGGGAGGGAGGGGGAAAAATGAGCTGACACCAAGGGCTTGGGTGGAAAGCGGGTGTTGTGAGAATGAAGTCAACATATGTACTAATGTGTTGGACACAAATGATGTTTGTACGAATTGTGATGAGTTGTATGAGCCCCTAATAAAGTGATTATTTAATTTTTTTAAATTGCATCGATCAGATAAATGCAAATTGAATCACAAACTTAAAAACGGCTACCTACCCACTAGGGGTACCAGGGCATGCACCAGTGAAGTGCTCAGCTGCTAACTATTGGTGGACAGTTCAAACCCACCATCAGCTCCACAGGAGAAAGAAAAGCCCTGGCGCTGATTCAACACACCACATTCCCACCAACATGACTCAGATAGAGGGGGACAATCAGACAGTTCTAAGTGTTTGGGGACAACTGGCAGGAGCTCTTGCACAGCGCAGTTGGGAAAGGAAACTAGTTGCTCGCTGGCAATTCCGCTCCCAGGTGTCTGGGATTTGTTGCCGGCAATTCCAACTCAAGGAAGCTGTCAAGCGACTTGGTCGGGTTTCCTGGGCTGCTATCTTTGGAGCTGTGGTCCTTCAGTGAGCACTTGAACACGAACCATGTCCGTGACCCAAGGACGTTCCCAGAGTCCTGGTGGTGTCGTGGGTAACATGCTGGGCTGCCAACTGGAAGGTCAATCGTTTTGAAGCCCCGGGCCAATGATAAGGCTTTCTGCTCCCTGAAAGATGAACAGCCAAAGGAGCAGGTCTGCTCTGTGCAGCAGGGTCAGGGCGTGTCAACGGCAGTGAGGGAGGGACCAACAGAAACTTGCGTCAGAGACTTGACATCTGTCAACAGCAGAATGGGCGAGTCCATTGCAACAATGCTTCCACCATGGAACAGCGACGTGCATCATCTCACCCTCGAGAATAACAGTGACAGAAACCAGGCACCAAGGAATTCACCAAGGGCTGTTCTGTTTGCAAAAAGGCATCGAATCGTACAAAGCTGAGTGTTGTTTCCTGTACACTCACAGCCGCCGCCCCCTGCTGCCCACCCCCACCCCCAACACACACTCACACAGCCATCAATGAAAAGTTTCCTTGAAAAGAAAATGATGCCATCGCACTATAAGTCACTGTAAAGAACCTGTGATGGAAACTTCACAATTCGCTTTTGGAAAACACCTTCCTTCTTCCTCAGCCATTTGGCCAAGTTCCGTCTGGCCTATTTCTGAGCATGTGCAGCTCACTCTCCCAGCAGATGACGAACGCACCCATTTGCTAGCACTCTAATTTACACATGGAAGGCCTCAATGCATTGTGAGTAAGCGTTCAGAAATGTGTTTGTGAGCATGATTCATCACTGGGCTTTGTCATCACTGTGGAGCTTTGGCCAATTAGCTTGGTGAAAATCGTTATCTCCGACATATTCATTTGCATCTCTGATGACCAGGAGCAAGCCAGGCTGCCATAGTGGGCGATGGGGTGGGCTGCTAACTGCAGGGCTAGCAGCTCAAATTCACCAGGCCACCCCATGGGGGAGAGAGGAGGGTGTCTACTCCCAAAGAGAATAATGGCCTCGGAAGCCCACCGGGGCAGGATGCTAGGAGTCAGAATGCACTCGATGATGGTGAGTGGTGGTTTTGTTTTTGACGACTGCTAAGATGATTTGTTCCTATATGCAATAATGGCTGGAATTTTCCCATCTGTAAACGAGGTCTTCATTGGCTTGGAGCTGTCCTGCCTCTCCACCCTCTGTGGACTGATTAGCCCTTCCCTCTCACATGCGTTACGAAGAGGCAACGTTCTTTCTGAGCAGATCTAACACCGTGATCACACCCGGACCGATTCTCTACTGTCCGCGTGAGCTTCTGCCTCAAGGCAAGTGGATCAAGCGATCTATGTTTTTCCAATTTATATTTAAGATGTGTCTAGAGCAAGGTGACCAGATGTTCCGCTTTTGGCGGGACAGTCCCGATTTTTGGCGTTTTAAAAAAGTCCCGATTTTTGGAAAGAATGCACAACAAGCTAGGGAACGGTCTATTTGGTCTATAGAGACCAAATTTTTAATCAAGAAAACACACACACACACACACACACACACACACACACACACACACACACGGTGTCCCGCTTTAAATCTGGTCACCTTAGTCTAGAGGGAATGAAGAAGAAATACAGCGTAGAAGGCAGAAACCAGTGGCTGCGTAGTATCCCGGTTTCTCACAAACATCAGGTGACTGAAGATATTTTGAACTCAGACTTGTATCTCTTTCAATCGAATCTCAAAGATCCACACTTCATCACTGGACCCGGATCCAGCCACCAGCACAATTGGAAAGGAAAAGACAGCACCACCTACCTGTAGTACAGGAAGCCGATTTTGCTGGTTGGGAATCACTTTCAATGAGATTATTCCTTTCGTTTCTTTCTATTGAAAAAAAAGTAAACAAAATGGTAAGAAACACTACGATTAATTAATGTATACAAGGGTAAGTAAAAAAGTACTGCTACTAGAGGTGCCGACAGGGAGAGGTATCAGAAGTTCAAAGACAAGCAACCAAATTGATGTGAAGGGGCATGGATATAGTGGAGACCCCAAATCCACCTGTAAGATAACTGGACAGTCCCTCACAGAAAGGCTACACTCAAGGGATGATAGAGCCAGGGTTCAGTATAGCACTGATGAACCACAAAACTATCTTCTAGTTCCTTAATATTTCCTCCCCTTACTATTATGCTTTTTGTTTTACCTCATTAATCATGTCAGATTTGCGTATGTTCATTTGTATATTTAGATTGTTCAGTACATGCAAGGCAAGATAAATAAGCCTTCTGCAACAGTAACAGGAGCAACGGTTCCTGAGGGTACAGGAAAAGGGGAAGGGGGAGGGGGAGGGAGTAAGGAGCTGATAGCATTGATGACTGTATAACCCCACTCAATGGGATCAAACAAGAGAATTGTAATGTGAATGGATATAATGGATTGTGTAAGATATGGCAAAAAGGGGGCGTTCCTCCGGGGTAGGGTGGGGGGGGAGAAGATAAATGGGAGCTGATACCAAGGAGTTCAGCAAAAAGAAAATGTTTTAAAATGGACTGTGGTAGGGATTGTACAATACTGCTTGATGGGATTGAACCATGGAATGTTATGATATGGGTAAGAGCTCCCAATACAATGATTACAAATAATTTTAAACAGCATTGCTACTAGGGTTCCAGTTCCTACGGGCAAGGATTTCTTCCAGACCAAATGAGCGTCAACATGAGTGCATCATCAGTGGCTGACTGCAGACACGCTCTCTCAAGGGGATCTGCTGGTGGTCAGTGCAATTCAAGACCGAAGTCAGCTCAGATGGTTATGGTGGCTGCTTTCTTGGGATTCCCAAAGGTTACTCTTGATAGATTTTCCCGAAGGTCACACAGTGTATTGGGAAACTGGAAAACGACACTGTCGAGAGAAAGGCCAGGACAGTTGCACGGTGGCTCTCTCCCCATCGCAATGCACCTGCTCATGCGCCAAGGGTGGTCACTTCACTGGGAACCCTTCTCTCACCACCCGATGGTTCTAAGCTTGCCCCTTTACACTCACTTTTTTTTAACCCCAAAACTCAAAGAATGTTTAAAAGGAACAAAATTGGGATCCCAGGAGGATGCCAAGCCTGCCATGCTGATACGGTATGAACCAAATGGTGCGAATTCTGAGGCCGGCCGGCCTTCGGATGTGCTGTTATTTTTGTGTGATTGTATATGGTTGCCTTCCCTGCTTTCATTTCTCTGCAAAATGAGTAAGGTGAGGAAGGGTCTCTACTGAAGGAAAAAAACAAAAACAAAAAAAACACCTTAGAGCCACTGCATCCCTTTCAATACATAGTGACTTTAGCAGACAATGAACGGTCCCTGTGGGCCTCTACGATTGCATATCTTTAAAATAGAAAAGCTCATTTTTCTCCCAGAAAGCGGTGGTTGCAAACTGCTGACCTTGCAGCTCATAGCTCAATGAGCAATCCACCAGGTCATCGGGGTTCTTTCCCCCTGGTGGGTCTGGGAAAGAGAGGGTGGGGGGAGATGTTGGTGGAATTACATGATTCCAGTGTGATTGTCAACAGGGTTAATGGAGAGTGTCACATTGTAATTGTAGAAGGTGTAACTAAAAGTGCGGGGCAGTTAATTTTTTTGTGTGTGCTTACATATTAAAGAGATCATGGCTAGAAGACCCAGAGTGGGGTCTATGAAGTGAAATATCTTAATATACATATCTTTTATACATACTCCTTTTTGTAATGTTTTATAAATTCTATATCCTATGCCTGTGGCTATAACCCCATTTCAGAGGGAGTTCCCTGTTATGCTAATGGACAGGATTAAAGTGGGACATATTTTGAGTTCCCATCTTACTAAAAGATGTGAATCAAGTCAGCACCCTTTGCTTCCTTGGGGGGGTATTGTCTCATGAAAGACAAAAACCACTCCTTTATCAAAGCCATTCCTCTGCTGAAAGTGGTGAAGGCTGAGTCCTCAGGCACCAGAGGCCATGGAAGAGAGACCATGGGACAGAGCAGAGGGGCTACTGAGCAGAGGTGAGACAGTGAGGTGGAGTGGCAAGTGGGGTTCCTGGCTCGCAGAGGCAGAAGCCAAGAGAACACATGGCTACAAGACTGAGGACCCGGAGGGAAAGGCTTGGCTGGTTGCTAGCTGAGGAGAGGCGCTGCTGTGAACCAGTGACTGCATCCTTTCTGTTTACTGGCCCTGACTTGTGGTGACATGTTAGCTTCCCTAAGAAAGCCCCATTAAGAAAGGAAGGTATCATATGTTAGTGCTGTGTGGCCATTGAAATGGCTTCTAGAACATAATAGAGAAGTAGAGCGCCACGGCAGAAACGGGTGGTGTCAGAATGGGCGGCAGAAGGATAGCCGATGGTGGCATATCTGACCTCTGCCTAATGGCAACTGGCCTTGGGTTGGTGTGCAGATGGGTTCTTTCCCTTTGTGTAGCTGGAGGAGGGCAGAGAGTCTCCAAGCCTTTTTCATACAGTATAGCAATACTTTTTTACTTGCTGTCCTGTATGTGTGTGTAATTATTGGACAAAAATGGAATTAGACCATATACAGTAATCAACATTGAGTCTATTCTAACTCACAGTGGCATCTTAACTTGAAAATGGCAACATGAAAATTCTATCACTGTATCCCCACTTATTACTCATTCTGCCATTCCTATATGAAATGTACCACCAGGAAAACAGACAGTAAGTTCGAGCAAAATACAGTCTTTTCAAGTTCACATGGAACAGTCACCAAGGTGCCCATAAAACAACCCTCGGTGAAGGGAGACCGCGGTCAGTGTAAAATATGAAAAAATAACAATTTATAAATTACCAAGGGTTCATGAGGGATGGAGGGAGGGAGGGAGGGAGGGGGGAAATGAGGAGCTGATACAGAGGGCTCAAGTAGAAAGCAAATATTTTGAGAATGATGAGGGAAACAAATGTACAAATATGCTTGATACAATGGATGGATGCATGGATTGCGTTAAGAGCTGTACAAGCCCCCAATAAAATGATTTTTTTTAAAAACCTCTCACCATATTTCAAAGGATTCAAATCATACACCTTGCATCATATAGCCACAGCAAAATTAAATTAGAATTTAAAATCAGAAATCCATCTAGGAAATTGCAAACGATTTATAATTAGGCCACACAGCTCTAGATAACCCGTAGATCACATAAGCTACCACAAAGCAAAAGAGATATTATCTTGCATAAGCACCAAACACAATGCCCAGCACCTTGGTACTTGACAATCTGGTGCCTGGCTTATTTGCCCCATCTCTTATGTTCACTAAATGAAAAAAAAAAAATCTCCTTACTGTCGCAGAGCAAATAAGTATTAGCACCGAGAAGACAAAAATATTTTGACAGAAAATCAGGTTCACTGATAGCAATGTGGCCCAACACTTCACAGAGACAATAGAAGGTGTAATGCAACATAGAAAAAAAACCTACCATTGCCTTCTGGAGCTGATCAACTGAGTGATTTGTCACATTTGTACCATTGATCTCTAGGATTTCATCCCCCACGTGAAGTGAACCTGCCACAGAATGAAACAGTAATCCACAAAGTGTCACTATCCCCTGAGATACCACAGCAAGGAAATCAGTGTGTGCGTCCTCACCGTGGCAGGCCGCTGCCCTTCAGCTGCTCCCGATGCCTGGTGGGACCTCATCTCGGGTTTCCGGGCCCCAGGCCTACGAATCTTTATGGGAGCAGACAGACTCTGCTTTCTTCCCTGAGAGCAGCTAGAGACTTAGAACCATGAACCTTGCACTTAGCAGCCCAATGCCTAAGTCACAGTGCCATCCGCACTCCTTTCCAGTCTGCTGCCGTGGCTGGCATGGAAGAATTGCTCAGATGCTAACTAATTGGTATAAGAGTGGTATCTACCTCCTACAGGGGTTGTCGGCCTGTGAAAGCTGGATTTCAGCACCCACTCAGTAGGGAAACCACTGTCTTCGTAACTAATTCTCACCAAATGACTAGGCAGAAGTTTGCAAAAGCGAGGGGTTTGGGGCCCGCCAAGGGAACTAATAAAGCGTGCTAATACTATAAGCTCATATAAGGTCCATGACACTCATGGGGGAGGGGGGGCATAATGGAAATAGGATGGATGGAACTCTAACACGGGGATTGGTTCGTTTGTCATCTCACTAGACTTAAAATGAGCCATTCCAGAAGCAGAAAAGAAGTAGTATTTCACTACCATTTACAAAAAGAGCCAGGAAGGAAGCGGATCCTTTGGACCCTGAGATCCCTATGTTGAATGAGCCTCCTTAATCCAAGAGATGAAGATCTGTGACCGCATAGAAATGATTGAGAAGCAGTGAGGGCCTTTGCACTGGAGGCTTGCTTTCAGAGTGGGGTACGGGGGTACTTGTCTAGTACGCTCGCTTGGCCAGGCCACAGAGTAAGAGTTGGGACCTTCAGGCTGAGGCTTACTGGTGCAGTGGAGTACCTTTCTGCCGTCTCTCAAACAGAGTTACAAGGGTTGTATGACATTGTTCCGAAACAGGGCAGAGGTCAAGGTCCCATGTGGCTGAGAGGCTGAGGCCGGAGAGAGACATGCCTGTAGGCATGGCTGAGAAGAGACTGGCCTGACTGAAGAATTGTATCCTGATAGTTTCTGATCTTGAACCTGGAAACCTAATAAATTCCATTATGATAAGTACAGGCCGGGCATTTGGCGAAGCCACTGCAATAGATGCTCAAACCCAGAGTGAGGGTCAGAATCGGGAAAGAAGGTTGGAAGCACGCCTAACCTCCACCTTCTAGGAATAGGCCTTGAGCTAACAGGGAGTTTGAGACTCCTTCTTCCCACACCAGGGACCCACAAACCCAAACCCACAGCCATCAGGTCAAAGCCACCTCACAATGATGTTACAGGGCAGAGTAGAACTGCCCCTCTGGGTTTCTAAGGCTGCAAATCTTACAGAAGCAGACTGCCACATCTTTCTCCCATGGAATGGCTGGTGGCTTTGAACTTCCGACCTTCTGGTTAGCAGCTTAGCACTCTAAGCACTGCACCCCTAGGGTCCCTCCCACCCCGCTGAACAGGGAATGAGTGGCTCATCTCTGAACAGGAGCCCCTGCAAAGTACCTTGTCTGTGAATCATGCCTCCATGCAGGATCCTGGCCACCGTGCAGGACTGTTTTTCATTCAGCTTCAGAGTGATTCCCTGAAATTGACAATGGAACAGCAAGCTTTAGTTTAAGCTCCTTTTCCAAGTCTCTTTGAAACGTTTTTTTGCTTTGTTTATTTTTTAGGAGAAATCAAGATTTTATTCGGCCTACGCATCCAAAGAAAAGAGGGCTGGGAAACGGGCAAACAAGCCTTTGGCTCTGTCGAACTGAACCCTTCTCTGACACACCCTAAGGTGACTTCTCATCCACCCGAGGGGCATTCATTCTCCACGAGCGTGGGGAGGAGGAGACACCACGACTCGGTTGCTTCCCAAGCTCCCTGCATAGCCTTTTTCATTGCCTCTGGGCCCCGTGCCGACTCGGTGGATCAGGAAACAGCAGTGGGGTTACCATGGGCTCCTCGGTGACCTTCTCAAACTGTATGACGCGCACTTTCCGCATCTCCTGCCTCGTGGCAGGGCTGTCTGGGGCAGCAGACCCATTGGAGCACATGTCCTCCGTCACAGCATTCAGCTGGTGCGCCGCTGTCTGTCAAAACAAAACAACAGCCATGTCTGGCACAGGAAAGAAGGGCAGAAATCCACAGGGATTTCACAAGTTTGCCATCCCGTGCTCTTTTCCTTGTGTGTGCTATTGACATTGTCAAACTGCCTTTGTTACCGTTGTTTAGCATGTACACAGAAAAACACCTCTCAATCCAACAGTTCCTACGTGGACCATTTAGTGACACTGATCAGAAAGTGTGTGTGTGAGGGGAGGCGGGGTAGACAGCTGAATTTCAAATTCTCATGGGCTCCAGACTTTCCAGAACCCCCGAGGCCGGGCAGGCTCCTGAAATGGTTGCCTGGTGACAGCCAAGGATGTTCTTTGGGTTGTGCAACCATCTCACCCTCCTCTGCTGAGGTGTCCCTCCTCTAGTGACATCGGCTCCCTGCCCCCAAAGGCTCTTATCCAATCTGTCCAGCTGCCAGCTGTGGGATTCCATCTAGATAGTTCTTAAGAGAGCTGAAGGAAACTGTTGGGTTGTGTGAGATGACTTCAGGGCTTGCTTTTGGTTTAAAGTTTAAAGATGATCCCAGGGCAATCGTTGCAGGGATTCATTCATCCAGCCACCTGAAAGCCTGAAGAAATAAGACTTTTTACTGCCCCACCCCCCACCCCCTTTGTGATTAGCACTCTTTCCAAATAGTCAGCAATGGGAACCAGGCACCATCCAATTCTTCAGATCTCAGGACAGAGGAGGCATTTGTTCCTGGAGGCAGTGAGTCACACATCTTATTTCCTCCTCCTATGCCGGACTCTGCGTCATTCCAGACTGCTGCAGGCAGAGTGAGGGCTGGCCACAGCTCTGAAGCCCTCAGGAACTGGGCCACAAACCAGGAGGTGGCAGCACTTACTGCATTTGTAAGCCACTTCGTGAAACCATGACTCTAAAGAACTGAACCCCAGGGGATGGTTGGCTGTACAGAAGCGGCCCCAGCAGGCAATCTTGTTATTATCTGGTCCGTGTTGGGAATTTATTAGAGAACTTTTGCCAATTTAACTTGTTCAGGTATACAGTTTATTGACGGGATTTTTTAACAACGGGCTGGGCAACTCTGCCCTTAATCAATATGCTAGTAGTCATCATTCCTCTTAATGAAACTTTTCTTCATGCCCCAAATACCAACTACCCAAAGAAGTGCATGTTCTCAATCACTGTGGTTGCTGGTACAGAGATACTGGATCTCCAGAGAGGCTGTCGTTCTGGCTCACGACCGCAGACTGAACACTGAGAATCTCCTCTCCCTCCTACCCTGTTGCCCTGAAAATAAGACAGTGTCTTATATTAATTTTTGCTCCCAAAGATGCGCTAGGTCTTTGTATTAGTCTAGGTACTTTGGAGAAACAAATCCACAGTGACTCATGTATAAGAGAGAGTTTTATGCAAAGAAAATGTGCATCACGAAAACATCCCAACTCAATGCTGCCCAAGCCCACAAGTACATTAACCCATTAACCCAACACCAGTCCACAAAGTCCACCACCTCACAAAACAGAGGCAATGATGCCGACTGCAGGAGGAAAGCTGAGTCAGTGAACGAACAAGCATCTCAGCACTAGCAGGG